CAATGGGCAGGCATCGGACCATTGGGTTGGGATACGGCCGACGAGGGAAACCACTGAGCCCAGGCAGGGCACCTTTCAGATGCCACGAGTGCGGCACAGAGGAGCATCTCGCGCGCGACTGCCCCCGTCGGCGCCAGCGTCGGCGCGCCCTCTGCCTCGGCGCCTCAGCCTCAGCAGCACCGCCGCCGCCGCCGCCGCCGGCGTCTCAAGCAGTGGCGGGGCGTCCAGGCCCGGCTGTAGCCCCGCCAAAGAATGTTATAATGACATTTGCGGTCTGCGCGAAATGTTCTCAGGACATGTCTGGCCGGGGCTGTCTTGTTTTAGCAGATCGGTTTATGTTCTAAGAACATTGGTCTTGTTTTTGGAGCACGTTTGGCTTTTAAAAACATGTAGTGGTAGGCCTATAGGAATGCCAGGGCGGTCGGTCCCTGCTCGAGCATCCTCGCCACTCGCGCACCTGGGGCGCCGCGGGGCGCCCGGGCCAGCCGCTCAACAACCAGCGCCGGGTGCCCACTCGTTCTGGATGACCGGGGGAACTTACGGGATGACCGAACCCGCGGTTCTGAGACCCGATTATGGTGACCCCACGCAGAGCAGAGCGCCGACCGTTGGAACGGCGGCCAGTCGACTCCAATTTCGACAACTACGCGGCCGACGCCTGTAGCGGCAGCCCCCAGTGCTTCGTCCGACGGTTCATGGCAGGCAGTTGGGCAGGGCCACTAGTCAAGTTGGGCAGGTACTTCATCATCTCCATCGGTTTCGCCTAAACCTCAGGAGACCGAACTTCGGCAACTGCGCCGGGAAATGGACGACCTCGTGGGCCGCGCGCGACAGAGTACTGCGCAACCGACGGATAGGGCAACCACGTTGCCAGTCCGCGCGGCAGGAGTGGGGAACGTAGCAGCTGCAGCTCCGGGGGCATCCGCAGCATCACCATCACCGACGCCACTGCGCTGGGCCAGAGTGGCCAGTGCTTTCCCGCTGGTGCCACAGCTTAGGCGCAACAGGGCAAGCGACATCAATCCCGATGTGCAGTTGCCCACTTGGGCCTGCATTCTACTTCGCCTGCCGATGCACAGTTGCCGAGTTTGATCTGCGTGCTTTTAGTCTCAGCACTCGGCATCAGCGCGCCATGTGGATCGAGCTCCACGTGGCCACCACAGTCCGCACTGGTAGCCGTGTCACCACCGGCACCGGAGTCGCCCAACGAGTTGATTGTTCTCAACCAGCACGCCCCCGTGGACGCGGGCTAGCCATCTGGGAGAGTTGCCGCGTGGTTCACCGGCCGCGACATCTGGATGTCCAGCGACGTGCGATCCGAACGTGGCGGAGGCCCCCCATTGGACCACGCGCATCGACGACACCTCGACGAGCTCCACAGCACCCGGCTTGCACTCGAGCTCTTATGACAATAGGACCAGCAGCGACGACGGGCAGCACAGATTTGGACCGAAACCCCTTACAAATCTACTTGCGCCGGCTGCGCCCTACGTCGCGGTCTCAACGGCCACGACAGGGGATGTCCTATCTCTACCGAGGCTTTCGTACTTGGTGATCGAGTTGTGCGCCTACGGCGCCGCCGTATCTTGCACCGGGCATGCCGCGCAGCTCGCGCAGAAAACCGAAATCCACCTGGTATACTGCCCAGCGCGCCGCGGCCTGGCCGACGTCATCGCCGAGTACCGCATCATTGGTGCAGATCGTGTTACAGCGGGGCCAGCAATTGCGTTGCCGGCCCGCGCGGCAGACCCTGGCATTCCGGGCCCAGCACGCGCGGTGCTGGCCCAGCCGATGCCAGACGACATCGCGCAGAGGAGATACCATCACAGCAGGACACCGTCCAGACTCCTCGCCTGGCACCGACACCCGGGGCACCACGGCAGGATCGTATGCGGTCCTTTTGCAGCGCTCCCAGTTCGGTGTCCGTTGCCGACGTAGCAGTACCATGCGACGCTCACCTGGGCTTGCATACTCCGCCGTGTCGACCTACGTTCCCGTGGTGGCCAACCTCGTCAGGTACAGGCCCGAGCCCGCCGACCGACTCACCCTGCTACCTGGCGAGCGCCGACCTTCCAGGCGGCCGGTTTGGCGCCGTGGTGAATACCGGTGCTTGGACCAACCTTTGGGAGCAACGCCTCGCGAGGAACTTGCCTCGCGGAGCTCCGTAAGTTGATTGTTATGCAGTTTTTTTTTTTTCCATTACCATGCCATCGAAGGGCAACGGTGCGCACGGAGCGGGTTTGTATACCAGGGGTGTTCACGGTTCGGTCGGTTCGATTGCGTCGCAGTTGGTTGCGTTCGGTCGGCTCGGTTCGGTCGGTTTTCGTGTCGTTGCTTAGGCTGTATTCGGCCTGTCGATTTCTTTCGGTTTCGGTTTCGCTGGAGCCTGTTTTTTGGCCACTGGGGGGGGGCGATGACGTCACGTTTCGCGCAGGCGGCGTCTGGGAATGCCTAGGAATGACCCAGGACGGGTAGCAGCAGCACGTAGGTGGCGATCTGCACCATAGCGTTTGGACACACCACAGTGCCTGCGTGCACCACAGCGTCTGTGTACACCACACCGCCGATGTACACCACAGCAGCCGCGTGCAACACAGCGCCAGTGTGTGCCACAGTGCTTGCGTGCACCATAGTGCTTGTATACACCACAGCGCTTGCGCACACCACATCAACCGTGTGCAACACAGCACCAGTGTACACCACAGTGCCCGCGTGCACCACAGCGTTTGTACACATCACGGCGCCTGCGTGCACCACAGCAACCGTGTGCAACATAGCACAAATATTGCATACAAAATTCTAGAAGGGATCTGTTTGACAACGTGGAACGCCTGTGGATTCCACTGAAAAAAATTCCTGGATATAGGATTTGGAAAATAATCAGTATGGAAAAAAGGAACGCCGCTGGAATCTACGAGTCTTCCCGAGTCCTCCCGCGTCATCCTAATTCTTCCCACCTGCGACCAGAAGGCCCCCGCAGGATTGGCGGTCGAAGAATCAAGTGGATTGAGACTTGATTCAATCGACCATTCTGCGGTGTACGCTGAGATGCGCACGCGCGCTGTAGCGTAGCGCCGACCCGCACGACGGGGGGAAGGGTGAGGGAGGAGGTTGGGAGGAGGGGAAGGAGGAGGAGGAGGAGGAGGAGGAGGAGGAGGACGAGGAGGAGGAGGAGGAGGAGGAGGAGGCGGAGGAGGAGGAGGAGGAGGAGGAGGAGGAGGGGGAGGAGGAGGGGGAGGAGGAGGAGGAGGAGGAGGGAAGAGGGAAAAACATCGCATTCCATCATCCGAATTTCCCTGGCATTGTGTTTATCTGTCGGCAGCAGATCCTCACTTACATACTCTTTCTACCTGTCCTGTATACGAAGGCGTTGTGGTGTACACCAGCGCTGCATTGCACGCGGATGTTGTGGGGTACACAGGCGCCGTGGTGCACGCACGCGGTGTGGTGCACACAGGCGTTGCGTTGCACACGGCCGTTGCGGTGTACGCAGGCGATGTGGTGTACATGCGCGCTGTGGTGCACGCGAGCATTGTGGTGTGCACAGGCGCAGTGTTGCACATGGTTGCTACGGTATACACATTCGTTGTGGTGTACATGGGCGCTGTGGTGCATGCAAGAATTGTGGTGTACTCAGGCGTGACGTTGCATACGGTTGTTGCAGTGTACACAGGCGTTGTAGTGTTTACGCGCGCTGTGGTGCATGCGAGCATTGTGGTGTACACAGGCGCTGTGGTGTAGATCGCCGTCTTCATGTTGATCCTACTTGGCCTCGGTCATCCCGAGGCTTCCTGGACGCCGCCGTCGCGGAACGTGACGTCTTCTGGGGGGATGGCAGGGCCGATGACGGCCACTATCCCGGACAATATGAAATAATATAAAGTAGTCTCTTGTCGGTTCGGTCGGTCTTCAGATTTGTTGTCGCTGCGCGCAGCATTGATGTATGGCCTGCCGGGCGCCCAATCACCATCGGGAATGGTTAGATGGTGCAGGATGCTCGTCGCGCACTGCGCCGCATTGCAAGTGCGGTGGAAGACCTCCGGTGGCGACGGAATTATTTTGTTCATTTTCGTCGTTGTTTGCTCGGGATGTGTGTGTCTGCTTACTTCGAGCGAGGGGGGAAGTGAGAAGGAGAAGGCCTTCTCCAAAAGCGGTGGGGGTTCTCAGAAGTCCTCGCGGTTTCTGAAAGGTGTTCAAGTTTTCTGTTGTGTCTTCGGGGAAGGTTTAGAAAACTTCTCAGAAGGCCGAAGGTTTTCCCCCCCCCCAGCGCAGCCGGAAATTACCCCAAGGGCAATGTTGGAGTTGCCTGGAAAATCCGCCACTACCATCGCAGAACCATGCCAGAACAGATCGAGGCCTGCAGGGTTTTCCGGTTTTCTGGAGGCAGTTCGATGCGTATTGGGGCAATGTTTGGATCGTCGTCGTGGGGCGTCTTTGGGAGTTGCCGTGCCGCTCTCGCTTCAGCACGAGCGGGCGGAGAGCGAGGGCGAGAGCGGCGAGGAGGACGAGGACGAAGAGCGAAGAGGGAGAGGAGGGCGAGGGCGAGGGCGAGGAGGAGAATGTGCGCGGGGACGAAGGCGAAGGCGAGGGCGAGGCCGAAGAGGAACAGAGCATCATCGCACTCAGAGTACACTGCCGTCATTCCACGCCCCCCGTCCCCACGAGCCCTCCCGGGCGGAGGGCAGATGCTGACGGAAGCAGCAGGGCAGTCGCCTCGTCGTCGTCCGTCGTCCGTCGTCGTCGTCCGTCGTCCGTCATCGTCGTCGTCGTCGCCGTCGTCGCCGTCGTCGTCGTCGTCGTCCTCCTTGCTGTACGCTATCCCCCACCTTGGGGACAGCGTGCACCAACGAGGCCCTCGCAGGGGGACAGCGTGCGCAGAAGGGGCCCTCGCAGGGGGATCGCCTCAGTGGGATAGCGTGCTATTTGGAGATCGACGCTGCACGCTGTCGTTGCAACGCCAACCGTTAACTACGCGCCCAGTCCGCGCGCCCTGCCCGCAGGAGTTCCTGCCAGCCGCCCCGCCGCCCCCTCCGCCACAGTCCTGGCCCGCGGCGGTCGGCGAGGACTCACCGCGTGCAGCCACGCACGCGCGCGCGCGGGTTTTACTTTGCCGGTGTTGCGCGACCTTTGTTATGGTCCGGCATGTTCTTTTCTAGCACTGGTGCCGCCGGCCAGCAGCAAGGGCGCGCATGTTCGAGGTGCTGGGTTCGACAAGGGTTTTTGCCTTTTTCGGCCTCCTGGGAGCCGCTTCCTGGCCCCAGGATTGTTAAAAACGGATCGGGGATGGAAATTTGCACCAGATGGGCCCCGGGATGGGTCCAGGGACCTTTTGAGCGGCTTTGGTTTCATCCTCTCTCCTGACAGATTTCCTTGGACCCTGACCAGTTCAGATTCTCTCGCTCTCTCTCCCTCTCTCCCCCTATCTCTATATTTTTTGTTTGCCTGTTCTATCTCTCTCCCTATCTCCCTCCATCTCTCTCCCGCCTTCACCGTCTCCCTCATCCGCGCGCTGTTGTGGGTTCGGGCGTGTTCCCAGATGCGCACTTGACAAAGAGGGCTTCACGGTGGGTGCGGGAGGCAACATGGAAGTACGTCCCCCTAAGCACGGACGTGTGTATAGACAGGAAAGAGCGCGCACGTCGCACACTTCTCATTAAGAGGGGTGCCCCAGCTTGAGGCTACACCCCTCCTCGGCTTCCGAAGCTACCCCCCTCTCCCTCCCTTCTTTGAGCATTTTGGAGCTAGGGGGTCCTAGCTAAAGGGCCCCCCCCCCTCACTCCTTTTCGGGAGCCCAAGGGAAGCCCGGGCTTCCCTTTCAAACGGGGGGCCAGGGATTGCCTTGCCAACTGGGGCGGGGCTTCAAAGCTACCCACCCCCTCCCTCCACTGCCGCAGCCCAAGGTCAGCCCAGGCTTCCCTTTCAAAGGGACACCCCCCCTCCTGCCTCCTTTCGCAGCCGTGGCCGCAAGCGGGGACGGGGCCGCAAGCGAGGAACTCACTTGCAGGTAAAAATACGTGCTCGGAGGAGGGGGGGAGGGGGCAACATGCCCCTGGCGCGTGCGCGCGGGGCAAGTGTTTTCACGTGTCCACGGGGCCCCTGGGAGATTCAACTTGGAATTGGGGAGTTAGTTGCATGTAAAATTGCGCGCGCGGAAGGGGGGGGGCAGTGGATGGGGGGGGAGGGGCAAACATGCGCTTGGCGCGCGCGGAGCTAGTGCTTTCACGCGTTTCGGGCCGCGACGGGACCGCAAGCGAGGGTCCCAACTTGTGGGTGGCAGGGCGCCGAGAGGCAACAGGTTGGAGGGCGCGCGCGGTGAATTGAGGCCAGCCCCAGAACAGATGCAGAAGTTCTTGCACCAGATACGTAGCAGGCACTCTGACCCTCAACATCGTGCTAGCACGGTGAGCAAGCGGACATGTGGGTCAACACATGTAGGATGGTTGGTGTTCCGGGTGCTAGCTGTTCTGTGTCGCTTGCTTCTCCCCGTGCTTCCCCGCACACACGAATGGCTCAAGGCACCGTTCTCAGCAGTTGTGTCTTTGGAGCGGCTCTGATATTCAAAATTATAAGCCCTGAGTGCGGACCGGTGGGGTAGCATTTGTTCTCCTTCTTGTCACAAGTTCATGGATTCGCAACGAGTGGGACATGTCGCACCGAGCCTTTTTCATGTATGTTCACTTGCAGTGTTCTCTTCGGCGGCGAAACTGCAATTCGCACGGTATCCTAAGTGAAAGGAGAGTGTTCATGCATATTGCAGGGAACGTTTTCCAAGTCAGCTTGTTTGTTCACTGACCAGGCGTTGGGACCACGCAGGCACATCCTCAATGCGCTTTTGTATGCGATTGGCAGTCTTGTGAATCTTGTCATGTACTTCTCCAGAGAGGCCTGAACCCCAGAACTCTATTGAAGTGTCATCATCGGCTGCGTTGTTACGGCACGTGTATCAGGTTTCATAGCAGATGCGTTCATCGTGATTCGGACTTCCAGGCTAGACTACAGAGCATTCACACCATGTGGGGCTCTTAATGTCAGAGCTTACCGATGTTGCGCGAATATTCTGCACAGCCATGCTCACTAGTGCCCTGCTCACGGTACACGTGTTCCCACATATGGGAACCGGTTTTGGGTGGGAGGAGATACCTCTCCATTGCTCATACGTCTACAAAGCGACTTACTCTGACTTACTCATTGGAAGCTGTAATGCTTTAGCTCCCAGTCGTCGGGAACCTCAAGGCACGCTTGGGAGATGCGATCTTTCACCTCGCCCTTTTCGCGCCTGTTTCTCACACATGCCAACAGCAAGGACAGAATATTCATGACCCCTTTCGTTGCCCAGACGGAGTTGTGCAGTCTGTGGACCAAGCTTCTGGGCCGCGTCTGCGGACAAGCCGTTGTCTCTTCACGTGTGCTCTCGTCCTATCGTGTTTCTGTCCCGCCTTACTTTCGAACGATTGATCGATCCAACCTTCACGCGCAGTATTCAGCAACATTTCGTCGCCCACCTCGCTCCATCGTCTACGATCTCCTCCCCATCCTCTCCTTCCCCTCGGCCTCTATCCCATCCCCTCTCCTGCCCTCTGCTTTATGGCTTTCTCCTTCCTCTTCCCCTTTCTTTCTCTCCCCACCCGTCTCCTTATCCTTCATCTCCCGCCCAGAGGTGTGCAAGAAACATGCACAGGGCTCATTCGGACTCTGCCGAATCGATTCGGTTCGGTTTCGATGGGTTCCGATTCAGACTCGATTCGACGTCGGATTTCGATTTGATTCCGATTTCCCAACGGTGGTTTACATCCTAGCCTGCCGATTTTCGCCGTTTCGACTTCTGCCGACTCGGCTGTCGATTTCCGCCGATCCGATTCATTTCGATCGCCGATCCGACTCGACCATTCGACTCTGGGCTCGCCTGCATGCACACAGCGCAAGTCTGTCACAGCTGGAGGCGTCTCCGACCCTCAATCCCTCCTCCTCCTCCTCCTCCTCATCATCATCAGCATCAGCAGCAGCAGCAGCATCATCATCATCATCATCATCATCATCATCATCATCATCATCATCATCATCATCCTCTTCCTCTTCCTCTTCCTCCTCCTCCTCCTCCTCCTCCCCCTGCTCCTCCCCCTCCCCTCCCTTTTCTCATCCTGTCCCTCCTCCTCCTCCTTCTCCTCAGGCGGAAGGCAGGGCTCATTTCGACTCCTCCGATTCCATTCGATTCGATTTCGGTGGCCCCCAATTCTGATTCGATTCGGCTTCGGATTCCGATTCGGATTCCAATTTCTCAAGGGAGACTTTGCAAGCCTGCAGATTTCGGCCGATTCGACTTTTCCCGATTCGGCTGCCGATCTCCGCCGATCCGATTCATTTCAATCACCGATCCGACTTATCGATTCGATTCCGGGTTCTCTTGGTGGAAGGGGGGATGAGGGAGGACAGCGGCGACCCACCTGCAGACTTGCTGGCGCGCCTGCGAAATTTTAGTGCCTGGGCTGAGCAATGCAACGCAGACGCCAAGGATTTTGTTCAAATGCTCAATGTGTGAACGTTGTTGCACGAGCGACGCCAGCAACATATTCGAAACCGTGCAGCGCATGTCCTGCCTCTTCGCCCTCCGTTCATTCTGTGTGTCCGCCATATGATGGTCCTCGTCTGGTTCATGTCTGCCACATGCTCTGACCGTGCTTACCGTTGCTTCAGCTTGCTTCCATTCGCCTCAGTGTGTCAGTGCTTTGCCGAAAATTCTTTTGGACCTCTTGGGGGCCTCTTGGAGGCCTCTTGGGGCCTCCTGGCTCTTGGGGCAGAAGGCTCGGACTTTTGGTTCGTGCTCCCTCTCTTGGGCCCCTTTTGGGGCCGTCTTGGGGCCGTTTGGGCCGTCTTGGGCATCTCTTGGGCCGTCTTGGGGCGCTCTTAGGCAGTCTTGGGGTCCTCTTGGAGACCTACTGGAGGCCACTTGGGCCGTTTTGGGTGGTCTTGGGAGCCTCTTGGGCAGTGTTGGAGCGTCGGAAAGCCGAAAAGGCGAGAACGCCAAAATCTTTCAAAAACCTTAGGCATGTTAATTGCTCTTGCCTCTTGGGACCCTCTTGGGAAGCCTCTGCTTCTTGGGGCGTCCTCTTAGGCCATCTTGGGGCCATCTTGGGCGCCTTAGAACGATCTTTCGGGGGCCCCCTTGGACCGTCCTGAGGGCCTCGTGGGGTCCTCTTGGCCCGTCTTCGGGCCCTCTTGGGGCCAAACAAGTCATGCGACAAGGTGCCCAGAACCCCAGAGGGCACGCCGGATGCCCCAAAAGATTTCGGAATTCTGGGTCCGGGTCCCTTAAAGACTCCTCAGGACTGAGGACTGAGGCTCCAGGGACTGAGGACTAAGGCTCCAGGGATTAGGCAAAGGACCTGAGGACACGCTCACTCCGTGCCCAGAGATACGGTGACGGATGATTTGGGAACTGGGATTGTAGGAGGGCGGCGGGAGTAAAACGAGGCCGCTTTCGCCGGCGGAAGCCGGCGGAAGTAAAAATCCGTGTTTTTAACCCACCATATGAGGGAAGGGCAAGCGAAACGGAATCGGAAACGCAATTTCAGATCTAGCCTAAGCAATGGACGGGGTGCCCGAGTAACGCAGGGTACATCCTCTTGGAATCCAGCCGCGGATCACAGTTACTACTTGCCCTACTGAACCGAACAAATTTGGCTCCTGAAGCAAAACCTCCAGTTGGGACGAAAGCGCCATATTGGCCTGAAGTTCGCACCAAGAGCGAGACATAGCGTTCCGGGCAGGCGCAAGGCGTGTCGGGCTCTTCTGCAGTTTGGTGTATTCGGCCACGATCCCGCTCGAGCCGCTGCACCTCACTGTCGCTTTCGTCGGGCTGGCGGTGTGCGTGGCGTCCTTCCTGTTGAGGAAGCATCCTCCCGATCCGTGAAGTCTGCGCGCCTTGGGTGGTTGCTCTCCTTCTCTGTTCCGCACTGTCCCTGCTACAGTCTTCGTTACCAGCGCTTGGATCCACATTCCCGCCAGGATCTGTTCGAAGTAGAGGAGAGGAAGAGAGGAGAGTAGAGGAGAGACAGCGAGATGTGAT